CAAATAGCAGGATGTTTATGAGCAAACAAGAACAAAAACGCAGTACATTTCGCTAACCCCTTCTTCATCAGTGATTCCCAAACATGTTTCCCTCATGGACCCCTAACCAATACGGCTAAATCACGAACCCCTAAATGCAATAAGTTTCATAATTACATTATATAGGTAAACGAATCTCTACATACAAAAAAAGTTACCAGGAACCTGTGGACCATTCCATAAACTCCCTCTGCATCGGCCATTTTTTATATCATCGGTGCAGCTAGTACCATAATCACAAATACACCGTTGTCACCGCACTAAAGATGTTCTATAGCCCAAAAAGTCCACAGGATGAAAGACCTCGACCAATCTACCATTCTTATGTTTCATTAGCCGCAGCTAAAACCATACCATTAACTGAAAAGTAAGCACATGCCTGACGCCCGCACACGTATGAATTGGTGGATACATTTCCGATCCTAATTGACTTTTTTATTTTCTTACTTTTATTTTTGTTAATTGTATTGGTTTTCTTTTTTTTTTTTGGACTCTGGACTGTATTCCCCGATTTTTTGGTCATTACTGAAAATCTGCGTTGCAGTTTCACTGCAACATTCTGCTGAGTAATGATCTTTTTGGCATGAACCGCGAGGTACTATAATAAAAAGGAAAAATAAGCACATTGGAGTTTTATGTCCATGTTTTTTTTTTTCAATTTTCAATTTTTATTGTTTTAAATGATTGCTATGTACGTCAGTCTGTTTTATGTCAAATAAATCTCTTTCTTTCGTTCTTGCTTTAGCCATTGTTTATGCATTAGGCGGTCCTCTATTCATTCGTTTGCTGACAATTTCCAAACTTGTTTACACGAACAAGTGCTTAGTAATTGAACAAGAAAACATGACTCGCATACAAGCTGTGTGCGCCCGTTAGGTTAATTATTATCGAATGTACGCATAACACTATCATTAACACAGTAAAGCATTAACAGCCAAAGGCAATTAAAGGCGCCCTGACATATGTTTATTTGTTTCTTGTATGTAACGTTATTTTTATCGTCTCATTTTGTTTGTTTACTAAGTATGGTCGAATGTCATTGCTTTTTCACGTGAAATTTCTTGTAATTTCCTTGTATCAATTAACATCGAATATATATCGCTTCATCGAACACACGAGACCGTAGAAAAGCTAGTTTAAAACGTGTACTACAACTGCAGCGAAGGGCGTTAAGTGAAGTCGCCAGTTAATAATACAACATATACTTTTACCCGGTTTCTTAAACACTAATCATCACTAGTGTCAACTAATCAGCTGTCAAATGGCGTTTCAAATTTCACTTGTTTCAAAGTTCACTTTTCAATTTTACATCTCTTTGAATTGATAATTCTGATCATTAAGAAGATCATTTTGGTCAATTCGGAGAGTTTAACCATCCTTTTGGCAACTAAAATGAAATTTAAAGTCATTTGACAGCTGAATTAGTTGACATCTACGATGATCAGTGTTTCAGAAACCGGGCGATAGTCTTTAAAAGGCATTTCTTATGGACACAACTTCCTTGTAATATATTTTAGATAATTTAGCTTTTCGTTATTCAGTATCTGAAACCAGAATCAGTATGTACTAGTCAACGTGTACGTAATTAATACAACGATAATAACGGAAAGAGAATAATATTTGTTTATATAAACAAGCGGAAGTGCAGCACTAGAAACATCCTCCGTAGTGTATAACATCCGGTAGCAGTCCGTTGTTGCCAGCTTCAACCAGTCAAGAAAAACAGCTCACATAAATACATTAAAAAATTTATTCTCCAAAGCAGACACTTTAATGCCCGTATTATGCATTATCTGATGATATAAACGAGAGCCAAAAGTGTCGTCACGGAACGTGGGTAAGCGGTAAACGACACAATCGTGTTTCGATAACGATCTCATAATAGAGGTATGATTCTAAATCTAGTGTGTGAATTCAAATTAAAAACAAATGCCTACGTTTCTATGACTTTGGTTTTCTAAATTCAAAACCTGAAAACATGCTCATATGTAACAATGTATCTAAACTAATAAAATCACTAACTTGCAATTATTTCGGTTATATTACTTTGCAACTGCAACAGGCGACCGTGGGAATAAACAGGGTCGTGATTTGCATAAGTTCATTCGCTTGACGCATTCAACGTGTCAGCGAATGCTCTTGATAAAATTTGCTAGCGATCCCAGAGACAATGTAATATGGCTGCCGTTCTAACACAGATAAAACAGACAACATTAAAATACTAGTACGAAACCGATAGTGAAGTCCTATCTGGGTCGAGTATAAATGCATCATGAACATTTCTGTTGTCAGAATGAAAATTATTACTTAATGTTGATAATTTTTGATGAAGGATATTTTGAGTGTCTTAGTCACATGTAGCAAAGCATCTTTGCAAGGTTATTATTAGCATCTGGATACGGATAGCCTGGTTAACTGGTTTGTCTTCGAATCTTGGGCTCTCTTAAATCATCGGCCTATCTCTAACAGATGGCTACCGTGGGCTGGTGATGATGATGAAAGCATTCGTTGGCGTGTGCGATGTTGTTTAGCTTACCTTCAGGCAAGACGATTCCTTATTTGCCATATCATTGAATTAAAAAAAAAAACATTGGTTTTCGTTCAGAATTTAGTAACTTCTTTTTCAGTCCAGTTTTGATCCCTTTGGCTTAGATAATAAGCTACATAAAGTATTTATAATTTTCTTCTTAAAATTAAACTAACTTTTAGCACCATATCATGATATAAAGTAACACAATACGATGTTAGTATTAACAATAAATCATTTGGTGTAAGTAATCTCATTTCTAATACTATTCTTTATCCTTAATAATGTCCACACAGATGCTACGTTTTTCTATCAATATAAAATTAAATGTAATTCTATCGCTTCAGTGATTAAAAGAGATAATAAGTAAACGTTTGGTCCGTAGAGAGTAACAGTAAATTCCATAGTTAAACGCACGCATGAGCACATGCGTGGCCCTACCCACAGCGGAGGGCCCAAACCCGTGGGTTCTGGCTAGCCCACCGGTTCTGCGTCAGATGAAGCTTTAATAGTCTCGGGACTGAAAGCAAAAACATCAGTTAATACAAGATACAAGGAACAGTAAATTGTCAGACCAAGCGACCTCATACTTCACAAAAGCCGCACACGCCCTTGCGTACTTACTACCATCAAAGCTTTGGCATTCGAAAGACAAATAAACAATGCCGCTTCATCCGCGTCGTATCCGGTGATTGTTTTTTTTTTTTTTAAAAATGTACGTCAACGAGTCACCGGCGCGTGGAAAAAGTTCCCCAATCGAAATTCCGTCCGCGCACCGTCCGCCATTTTAATTAGCGCCGTCATCGTCCGAGAATATTAAGTGTTAAGCGCGCCTCATTTTGGGCTGTCGTGTTTTTTAACACAATGGATTCGCTTATGGGGTTGAATATTTTAATTCTCGTCCAATTATATTGTCATTTGTCAGTGGCAGTCAAAATATCCGACAGACAATTCGACTGTAAATCGTTCAAATTAATTTTATGCATATGGTTATGCGCACGATGTGCTTTGAATTTTATAAGAGAGGACCTAATGGCTTTATTAGATCAACCTGACCGATGTCTTTTAAATTTAGGTGTAATATACATGTCAGCCCTACTCGTTTACTTCACAACCCATTAAATTATAAGCCAACTTGTATCTGCGGTGTTTTTTTCATAAAAGTCGTAAATATCGTTTTACTCAAAAAACGGAGCGAAAATCACACTAGCTATTTGACCTAACATAAAATGCTTAATGTTTTAAGTTTAACTTTTTTAAATATTTTTAAATAAAGTCGTAAATTTTGTTTATGCGTTGTTAAATAAAACAATTCAAATTTTTACGTTGGTTTGTTGGTTTTAATTCTCAACGTTTAGGACACTTTACAGAGTCCATGTTCACTGGACAGCCTGAGACGATTTAAATCGTCATCATCATCGTTAATCCAGGCTACTGTCACGGCTCCTTTTATAAAATCAATATTTCGTATATATATCGTATATATTCTATATATATATTATATAGGGTATTTAATGAATCAGGCTGACATATATGACATTAAAACTTAAGGTGGTCCCGCTGGAAAAACCACGTCAATTTATTTAAGGAGAACATTTAAAACATAATCTTAATTATAAACGATTAATATTTTAATTAGGACCAATTCCGATTGAAAACGTCTCAAATGTATGTTTCAAATTAATTCCGACAAGATTTTTGCGACTGAGTGATGGGCACTCGGCGAACATAAGCGCGTTTTTAAATTGCTTATTTAGCAAAGTTACTTTCCATATTTGTAGTGGAATGTAAGAGACCACATACGTCGGTGTGATAACGTCGATCAAAGGATCGTTCATGGTATCTTTATGTATACTGTATATAAAAAAAACCTAATAAACTATAAGTGTTTATTATTATATTAGGGATGTAAAACTTTATGGTTCACGGTGTTGCGAAAATGCTAACGTATTCGCTGTGCGTCTATTATCTAGATGTTGTGAATAAAGCGCGCATGCCCACATGCCTTTTATCCTATAGATCACTAAAGTATATAGATATAGATATTCAAACTTCGATTTCTAAGTTCGTGGGCTGTGTAATCGAAAACGGGGAACCGCGAATACTTGCGTGTGTCTAGGGTACACCGTCATCACAATATGTACTGTTGCAACACCTCTGGTGTTTATTGGTTAACAACACATGTCGTGAGTGCGTGTGTGTAAAGTTCTTCATCAGGAGAACTGCTCAGTCTAAAAATTTGAAAAAAAAAAAACAACTTAATTATTGATAGCAAAGGACCAAATAACAATTAATTTTGAAACTGGGAAGGCTTAGGTGTATTAGTTTTAGCGTTTTAGAACTTCAGTACATTGTATGCTACGTCCGTTAATGTAGGTGTCCAAGTAGGGTTAAATTGCAAGCACGAGCTTATAGAGATCATTGATGATTTCAGGAAAACGAGGAGGAGATAGGTGAACTCTTCCACGACGACGAAAATGGAGCGGCCCTGCTCATCAGAAGGCATCCGAAGAATGGAAAACTCATGGTGGTAAGTGTTGCTATATTTATTTATAACATGGTACATTAGATGGCATAAATGGTGATATTGGAACTGTACATTTATACATATATATTGTATGGCCTTTTTAGGGGACATTATAGAATAGAAACAAGAAATTATTGGTACACAATGTTTACTTAGTATCACTCGTCAAGATCGGGTTGGAAATCATTCTCATCCTCAAATGACAGACGGTGGTTATCAGACGTAAGGAAAGTTAGGGAATTCTTCATTTTTGAAATTCAATAATATGATGATAGACGTTGAATCTATTTGCCAGACACCGAGCTATCATTAGTATAGTCAAAGCCAATTATTTGTTTAATTTGGACTTCGAATTTAACATCGGTCCGCAAATTAGTGGCCGGCCCAGAGAAATCTCGGCAAAAATCTACAAGAAAAATAAAAAAAATTGTGTCATGCTACAATAACATCAGGCTTTTTAATTAATTGCATAATAACATTAAGTCAAAGGCAGAAGCAGCCAGGTGTCTTGCATGTCAGTTAGGTTTATTTTGATAACATCCTGTATTTTATGTAAGCTTGGTTAGAAATATATAATATATCTGTATTGAAATTGTAAATTTTGCTCATGCAATAGGAAATATTGACAATAATAACCGACTAATATAACATTAGTGTAAGTGGATAAGATTAGTGACTACGAGTACCAAGAACGCACTTGATCCAGGACTTGGACCAAACCCCGACATTTGCGATTTGGTACTCCAGTCTGATGCCTTGAAGAGATTAGACTTAATAATACACCGAAAACAACTCTGAGAAGAAGCACAGTTTTTGTTAGTTGTTGCCGAGTTAATCTTGGATTAAACGTGCAAGCTAGACATTACTAATTCGTCAACCGGTCACGTTTCATGTTAAAATTATCCGTTCCTTTAAAAATGGCTTTGTCATTGAGACGTGTCAACAGTCAAGATGGAGGGTGTAGTATCTTATTATCACGTTTAGATCACAGATATTCTTCTTTTTAATAATCTGTCTGTGATTACGTTTTTTTTTATTAAAATTTTAATAAACAATATTTTATTTAAAATAAGACTATAACATTAATATTTTCTCTTATTCACACCAATTTAACATATTTGAATAAAACTGATCTACTGATTTTATCATGAATTATTTTAATTTTAAACAAATTTAAATAATTTTTATTTTTATTTTATTTATCTTCATTCCAGTAGGTATTAAAAATCTTGTGTGTAGTTAAATAGAGGAAAATGACTTTTAACAAACACTTACAAGATAAACGCAAAACATAAACTTTCAACAAACTAACAGCGCGCTTGTTTTTTATCGTTGTGCAATTAACAAAATGGTTTGATGCAATAAATCGGCACGTTCTAAAACCGGGGTTTTCCTAACACAATATTGCTCTAATAAATTAATTTTTAGTGTCGTCTTTCCAAAGGCGCGAACACTTTACAGAGCACGTGTGGTCTACGCTCCGAGTAGGCCAAAAGCGTGGGTGAACCAGCCGACCGCCTCACTGACCTAGAATCAGCACAGATAATGCTAATTCCAGATAAGGCTGTAATAACATGTGGCGTGTTGTTGTTTTATTTTACTTGATTTTAGCTCGCTTACATAACAATTGTTTTTTTTTTGTTTGTCTTCTCATGCGTAACAGTGGTTTCTGTGCGAGTGGTCATTGACTTAGAATAAATAAAATATGATTAACGTTGAATTTTTTTCATGAACGATGATTTGGGTAGTCATAAATGTGTCCCTGTGCTCACCTTTCTGTTACAACCCTACTTTGTTACAGTTAGTACTGCCGGCAACCCTAAGCTCGTCACATTGCACTATTAACCCTATCCATCCACGAATCACGGATTAATATCCTATATATAGTTGTCTAACTAACGTCTAAAACTAAAAAAATAGTAATAAGTGGTGTCGGCACAACATATAAATCATGTTGTTAATAAAGACTAGGTTTTTTACCACCAGCCTGTTGCCAACTGAATCCATCAATTTAATCAAAAGACGATAGGTTGATATGAAACGAACAAAACAATATAGCTGTGTAATACATAATCACTACCTAGTATTTAACAAAGTCGTCCCCCTGTCTGTCTGTTCCTATGTATGCTTAGATCTTTAAAAGTATGCAACGGATCTTGATAAGATTTTTTTAATAGATACTGTGATTCAAGAGGAAGGTTTATATGTATAATACATTGCACCCGTGCGAAGCCGGCGCGAGTCGCTAGTATTTACTATAATATAACATTACATCGATGGCAGACAGTAGACAATAGTGGTCAGAACAATATATCAGATTTAAAATGTAAGTATATTATATGAAGCTTTTCCCGTACAGGAAGGTTCAATAGGTCACGATTTGGTGATCAGGCCGATACCAGATTCGATGACAGCCAACGCGCAAGACGACGAGATGTTCATGGACCCGGCAAACATGGCCGACATGGTTTCCATAGACACCGGCCTGCCTATCGGTAAGCCATTATTTACTAGAAACAAATGTGGTATAACTAATGCTATTATGACTATCATACTTAGCTAACTAAATCTTTTTCTAAAAACCGAGAAGAAAACTATAGTTACTGAAATATAATATTTACTATATACCTCGTGATGTTATTTAAAAACACCTATTTCTTGAAAAAATTACACGAGGTGTGTTTAAAGAAATAAAATTTCTATAACATGCATAATAAATTGAAAAATAATAATGTAACCTTAATATATTCGTTTATTCGAACAACGAATTTCGATATTATTATCTAAATATTAATTTTATTTTCTTATTTTTTTAAAAATAACATAACCGGCGGCAGTGTGTTTTCGATCATTTTAATTAATAAATTATTCAACGAAATAAATTTTCTCGAAACTACATATCATGGACGGGTAAAACAAGATAAGAAAAAAGTAGCTATTGTGATAAAGATTCTGTTTAAAAATTTTAGTATACATATAGGTATAATTCTTTTAAATAGCTTCTTTAAATCAATAATAAATACAAGTTTATATTTTTGTCAGTGAACTTTTCGTTATTGAAATTTTCCAGTTATGAAATAAATTATGGCCTTGTAGCGCCATCTATTGGCAAGTAGATTATACTGTGAATTAAATTGTATATTAACTAACTCACAATTTTTCTAGTAAAAAGGCAAAGGATAGACCAAGAAAGCTTAAGGCAAGCTCTTCAAGGAGCTCACCACGTCGTTATCAAAAGGGATCCCGCACAAGGAGACCATATGAGTGACTTTGGTAAGTACGACTACAAACTATACCACTGGATTGAGGAATGTCAAATATCATATAAACCCGCGTAGATATATAGATGTGAAAAGGTGGAAGAGACAAGCCGCAAAAAGTTAAACTGAGTTTTTTTTTTCTATAATCTATTAACATTTACACCACAGACTGATTAAAAACCTATTTATTGCAAATATATATTAATTAACTTCATATCTTTTAAAATTGTTAAAGTAGAGTAACTTAAAACTTAATTATTATCACAACGCAAGCTTACAACAGGTAATACAAATATTTTTGCTGAGGTGGATGGATTGATTTAAATGTTGTATATACATTTTCGCTGTCAATTAAATGGCGCCAAAACGGAAACTGGTCACATTATTTTAATTCGGTCGCAACTTACAAACAACTACAACAAAACATTTTGGAAGCATAATATATACGACGAGGCTCAAACAGTAACTGTTAGGCTTAAAACGACAAAAGTAAATCCGAAAATTTGCTTAAATTGGATTTATTTAGAGAAAATAATTATCATGGTATACCTATAACATGTGTCTTTGTCTAAAAAAAAACTTTACTCGCGAAATAATTTATTACATCGTTAAAATCGCATGGAAAAGTTATCAGAAGATCGTCATTAAGGAAAGATCAGATTGCCAGTAACTTCTTCTAATTAGCAAACTCAATAAACATTCGATTGATTAATCCGAGAAGGCGGGAAAACTAGTTATCCGGACACCTGTGCCCGCGGAAGGTGGCAGCTGACATTTTGATATATCTACGAATGACGGACAATTTCGTTGGGGACTGGTCGAACGAAACATGAGCTATAAACTTGTTTTATTATTATACTTTACGAGTTTTAGATTCGAGGAAATGCTTAAATTAAATTTGTATAAAATCATCCAGGCGAGTTGCCGTTCTTGTCAGATAAAACTATTATATTGCGTGGAATATCATAGAAGTGTTTCATACGTGAAACAGTCAATCGATAAGGTTTCTAGAGAAATTACAACATACTTATCCTTGAACAAGTCTACATTTTCTGATTATGACATAATTATAATTGATTCCAAGAGGTTTATACTGTGGTCATGGTCACGGAGTAGCTTTTGTTGTTGCGTCGGGATAAGTACCACGATTGCACAGAAGATCGGCGTGACATGTTGGTAATATACTTTTTTTTTGCACCCTTAAAAAAAGAGAGCTCTGAGTCTTCTCTACAGAATAACTATTATCTCCCTAAATTCTAATTTTCTTCATAACATTTGATCCAATACCAGATAATTCCGATCTTACATCCAAATAATAACTTTAAAGTATATGCCAGGATAATCCGATGTCTCATCTGCAATCCAATGATAGTTCGAGTAGATTAGAAGAATCTGCAAGTCATGAGAACATGAAACTTTAAGCCTCATATCTTCGACTGAATCTAAGAGGTGACACATGTCAGAAACGTATCTAAAATATAAATCTTCGGAGCTTTCAACTCACAAGTCACTGTTTCGTTTCAATAAGATAACCGGTATAGCGCTATGCAACTAAATTTAGTTAAGTAGTCATTTAAACTTTAAATAAGTAGGTAAATGGTGATATTTCCGTTAATGTGTAATTTTATCGCTCAAACATCATATTCTAATTAATTTAGTTCTTATATTTGGAATAAAATAAATTATGTTATTATCACTGTGCTTGTCTTCCACGCAGAACAACAATTTTTGTGATTGTTTAATTTTTACTCCCACGATGAAATTAATTTTTAGGAACCCGCCCCTTCACCAAGACTTATTTCTAATGCAGGAGTTTTTCACTTCGGATCTATTTCTATCGTTTGGTCACTTCACGTTAAATTGTGCAATTTAAATATACAGCGTGTCGTTACCATCGCGACAATAAATCAATACACGTCTAACGCTACTTGCCAATAATCATAAAAAAAATATTAACGTTAAACAAAATCCATAATTAAAAAAAATATTTTCCAAAAAAAATAAATTAAGTAAAAAAGAAACAAAATTTGTAACATCCTATACAACTCGCGCCACAGCGTCGCATTACAAGCCTCTCCTTCTAACAGTATGTTTTGTCTCTTTTAAATTCATTCAATCCATTCATATGCTTTGTGACCTTTACAAATGAACTTTACGTTACAGTTTTATACGTAAGGGTGTTCTTGAAAAATTCTTTGTTTTGGAAAATTTAATAACTCTGTATATTGATGTGTAAAGAATGTAAATGTTTAATACAATTTTAAAAAGTTATCCCCTATATGTGTGTTCATTTATTGTCGCGATTGCAAAGACATGCTGTATACATTTATTAACCCATAAATTATTCAATTGCAATCAAATGTTAATGAAATATCGCCACACTCTCGTCTCGCAATCTTCTCTTAAATTTATAGAGTTGCTTATTTTCGTGAAGTGAAATAAAAAATTAAACAAGTAAACAATAATTTTAAAAATACTGTAGTTTTAATCAAATGATATATTAGTGGGTAGGACGCCTGACTTGAAATCTAGGATTAAAGAATAAAATCTTAATGTATTTTCTTGTTTCATACTTACACTTTTTAAAAATTACTGTTACATAGGCAGTAGGGCAGACTGGTACATAGGCAGCACTGGCTGCAATTAAAGAAGGTACATTAATATTGGTATTACAAAGTTCAAGTGGTTTCAGCAAGTCATTTGAGGAGTTAAGTGAGGTTGTATAATTGATATGCAGATAGCAGGTCAATTAAATTATATCGCTTTACGACTCGCCATTCAACTTATGAGTTAAAGTTAACGTGACCACTTTGATTATGATTACATAGGTTTATGATTCTCTCAGCTTTAATATTATAAACAAATAAGTTTGTATGTAAGAAGGTAATCGTGTGACTGATCTTTGACCTTCCGAATTATAATTCTAAAAAGACATAAGGTATATATTATGGAGAGCGTTTATATGTATTGTAACAAATTCTTTAGTCTATAGTCTTCGAAATATTTATTTGTTATTGTTTCAATGACATGCAGGTTTCCTCGCGATGTTTTGCTGCACTGCTGACCGTGTGATAATTTAACATTAAAATTTGTAAAACGAAAAGTGGGAATCGGACGAACGTCTTCGGGATTCGCGCCCTGACGCTTTAGCCACTAAGCTAAACGGCCGATAGCAACTTTTACATTTTTTTCTACAAATTTTAATTTATTTACGCCAGCACCGGGATTTGAACGCGGATTGCTCGAGCGTAAATAGATTAACATCGAAAGTCCTTCCTACCTAAAAAAAATTGTCAACCCAATCGATGTGATCGCATAGAGATAATCTAACTCCGAACGCAAGGATTTACGCTGTGAACACACGGTCGCGTCGCCTCTCAAACACGTGCAGCCAACGGTCGAGCGCAAATATCAATTGCACGATAAACGAGACATCGATTATGCTAATAGCACCAGTTTTGCTAGCGAATGCCAACGCGTACTTTGTCGACCGTTTGCTCCTCTCCGTCTTGTTGTAGATTGTGATTGTCCGTTGATAAACAATGAAGCCTTACATAAATAGATAATTAATTTTAAATGAATATTTTAGTACACATTTTTTCCACAACGTTCTCTGGTTCCAAACTGAGCAACGCTTTTACTATGGGTACTAGATAACTAATAAACATACTTATTGTTTTGTAAACAAATACATGTTATACATATATAAACACCCAGACACTCGAAGAACACTATGTCACACAATATTTTTCCTGTAGTGGGGATGGTCGACCCTTTAGCCCAAAAGGCAGGTTAACCACTACACGAATCGTGTCGTTATATTTACACTAGTCCAAGATTCGAGCCTAAAATTGAGTGGATCGCACGCGGGACGCACTGAACCATGACTGTCTATATGCTATAGTGTTCGAAACCACGGTGGTGGTGCCACGCAACAGCTTCAGCTGTTGCACGAATGGGCAGGTCCATTCGGGCTAGTACCACGACCTCACAGAAGACTAGTGTTAAGTGGAAGTATTAGACTATCGCTTTTCATCTGGGTAGTAAGGTAGCCGGGGCCTACTTTTAAAAAGGTTAGCAGATGCAAACCCTCCGCTGAGGACCCTTTTACAGATTCCATGGGCAGCGATAATCACTTAACATCAGGTGAACCGCCTGCTCGCTTGACAACTTTTCACGTGTAAAAATCTCATATACTACAATCAAGTATTGCTCTTACGTATTATACTAACAAAGCATTATTGTGATTATTAGCACATTTGTTATTTTGAATCTGCGAAAGAATATAACCTCTGCTCAGCATGGCGCGAAAGGCATTCACTTATCATATGTCAATTTATGCAAATGGCCGCTGGAGCTTCTTTTATTAATGTATGTCGTTTTGTAGGGACAAGTTATGATTTGTACCACGATTATGTTGCCGGAGCTAATTTTGAATAAAATCAAAAGATGAATGAATCAAACACTATATAGAACTGATGGGTATAATGGGCGGCCTTATTACTAAAAGTGATTTCTTCCAGGCAAACTTCAGGTGCACTTAAAAGAAATTAGTTTAGGAATAAAGATGTGGGTTAAATATCTTCATGAATGAAATAAATAACTACTTATCTAATAAATAAGATATATGAATATGTAACTAAATAAGAAAATGTTTATGCAAAAAGGCTAACAATATATACACCTACATTTATACAAGTTACATAACCAAATTTAATGACATGAATATGTTCAAATAACACGAATAATAATTCGATATTTTAGTATAAAATATCATTGCATTGACTGTCTATATTTATAATTTAATATTCAATGCTCTGCTTGTAAAACGAACGAAATCTTAATCTCTTATCAATTAATTTGCAATACAATGAATTTTAATTTATTCTAGCATAAAGTTAGACTGCGGAAAACATTCTATTAGACAAAAAATGTTTTAAAAACGTCACAAAGTTGCTAATAAAAATGTTTTAAATCTCAACTTTATTGCTTGAGGTCATAAGGTCAAGTCGCAGAATGATCTTACGTCGTTCATTTTATAATTTGGTACGGATTTGAATCGATTCTCATTAATCTAAAATCAGGAAAACCCGTTATCTTACATATGTACCTCTTAAATATTTTCTATGAAAATAATTTAAAAGGGGCTTTCTTCAAAACTGGCTTCCCTTTGACTACGGGCGATATAATATTATTACTATAAATTTGAATATGGTTATAATCTATGGAAACTAATTTTCTACATTAGAAAAAGGTAGTGTGACAACAAGCAAACTTCCCTAAAACGTTGTTAATATTAGTGTGTCAATAAACGTCAATCTCATGTTATCATTTCCCATTTTACTTACTTAGACTTTATTTTACTTGCTTGTTTTACAAAAACATCTTACCAATTTTTAACAAGACGATCAATAAATAACACGCGTCATCAAAACTTATAACAAGCGAGAGTAAAATTTAATAATTTTAGCGCCACGCTAGACATGTCATTAATTCAGTATATTTATATTTATTCCGGTATTATACGACCAAGTTAAGAACTATACAGCATTGTTAAGTTTTGCATTCGAAATGAATCTCTGCCATAGAAAAAATAATAGATAAGTATAGAATATTGTAAATTTTTAAGCAAATATTTTGGCACCCACAAATATGCTATTAAGATACTCATAAATGTACTTTGTTTACTTTAAGGGGTTTTTTAAGAATTTCAGTTTTGCCGAAAAAAAATTTAGATACCTAGATTATTTGAGTTTGTATGTTTTATTAATGGAAGTTCTGTTTAGAAGTATTGCATTACTCATATAAATTAGGCTTACCTTTATAGTGAGCGCTATGCAATGAAATAAAAGTTTATTAATTTTACCTATCGGTCTAGTTTTCTCACAAACCAATAAACTTCATTGCTTTAATTTATTCTGATGGAGTACTTAAACCAGAAAATTTAATAAGTACTGACTATTACTGTAGATATGATACGAAAATAGATGTATATAAAAAAAATGGACGAAAAGATTTTCTCTACGAAGAGAAAATCTTTCGAGCGAGAATCGAACCAACGTCTTCCAGATTCGCGCCCAGATCGCTTTAACCTAAGCTAAGCTAACGACTGATTGCCACACCGACGAAAATCTCAACGTATTTTATGTACGATAACTAAATAACTGAAACAGTTAGATATTAATTTACTCTCTGTACACGGTGTTATTTTACTGATACCTTATGTTTTCTTTCAGCATTCATGGAACCGGACCATATAGGTAAAAGGTACAGGCGGAAGCGATCAACAGAATCGCATAGCAGACAAAAGAGGGAAGCTCCATACGTCATATACCCAGAGATCCTCGTGATTGTGGATTACGACGGCTACAGGTATCGCTACGGAACTTGCACCCTCCACCAAAGCTCATTTCACCAAAGCTATAACAAGCGTCATACTACAAGCATAAAAAATACTATTTAACTGTTACTTATACGCTATTGTGTGTTTCATAACATCCTGTAATCGGAGCATATATATGTCGGGGCATATAATACTATACAACATTGTATTAAGTATTATACTTAAAACGCTTATATCGCAGAACTCGCTAGTTAAGAGAAAAAATATTTGCAAAATGGAATACTTCAAGCTTATAATAACTATATTGAAAAATGTAACACTGAATCTATCTAAGCAACATTTTTCTAGTAATTTAAAAAAATCTGGTATTTGACTGTGGCTGGGCAGCTTCGGCCGCTGCACGAATGGGCTGGTCCGTCCGGGTAACCTCGCAAAAGCCCGGCTTAAAGTGGAAGTATCATACTTCTGTGTTTTGTCTAGTCAGTGAGGTAGCCGGGGCCCACTTTAGCATCTGCAACCCTACGGGTGTTGCAAATGCCCATCGAACGGTGGTTATCACTTAACATTCATAATTGAATGTGAACGGCCAGCTCGCTTGCCACCTTCTGACATAAAAAAAAATATATTTGTAAGTAGCACATCAAATGTTTTAATTTTTATAATTATTAGTTTTAAAAAGGTAAAGTACTTAATGTGCTTTCGTTGTAATTAATGCTGCGCTAGACCCTTACAAATCCGTTCTCTGCAAGTTACTTACTTCAACACCATAATGCAAATCATTTCCACTTAAACAGTAAAGAAAGCAACTGAGAATGTTTTCGACTTCACATTCGACCTGCGGTCTAATAACAAGAGACATCGCGAACGTTGTTTCAGGTTACACGGTGGCGACAATGTCCAGATCAAGCGGTACTTCGTGTCATTCTGGAACGGCGTCGACCTTCGGTACAAGCTTCTCAAGGGCCCCAGAATAAGAATATCTATTGCTGGCATCATCATATCTAGGGTGAGTTGGGTATAATCTATGACGACTACATATAAGCTGCCAAAGATTATGTAATGCACCGTCTATGACACGTCTTTAAGGCATATTCGTAAAATTGAAAATTAATATTTAAAAAGCTGAAATGTATATAGAAATTGAAGGCGTGTAGGTAATTTCCTACAGTATTTTTATTCTTTTTTGATACACAATTTTTATTTGAATTTGAAAAACTATAAATTTTTTCTTAAATTTATTTATTCTGATCTAGAAATTTAGTATTTGTTTAATTGTCTTTAAATTACTTATTATAAAAAATGTCGTTTACCACCTTGTATTGTGCCAGTATCCATTTCCATATCGGTCTACTGAGTCGCCAAGAAAAAATGATTAGCAATTATTTTTTACCAGAATTATGATTTCGTTCGAATAAGTTATTATTTATTCAAACAATTATTGCAAACCATTGTCATTATAGTGCTTTGGAAAAACTAAAAGAACAAAATGTAATTTTTTATTCCATCTTTATTAGTTAGAAATTAGCTTAAAATTGACCATTTCATCCGTGTCTATACAAAGCTGTTCGAGAAAATGCTTCTTCGATTTCGGATAACCTTCCAACACTGCCTCGATCATATCCGTGCAGATTCTCTTCCGTTTCCTTAGAAATAAATTGACATTGAATTATTTATTACACTTGTTCATTGTTATCGTAAAATTGTTGTTCAAATATGTTCTTGTATTCCAAAATAGTACATAAATATTTTCATATACATTTTGAATCGTCGTCTTACATGCTACATAAGTCGATTGCTTGTTATGTACACTTTACAGGTGGAAATATAATTTAGTAATTTTGGTATAATGAATCTAATTTAGAAACCATGGTACCGCGACGATATGTTCGAAATTTTAAATTTTAAAATGTTAAGAGAAGGTTAATTGTGTTGCACGTAATTTCAGTAAGGCTTTTTGATTTTTATTTATTTATTTAAGCTTATCAATTAAACAAACATTAAACATTAACAGTTACTAAAATAACAATTTTTATGCGTAAACTCAATCGTCATCATTCAGAAATATAATTTATGAATAAAATTACTTACTTAAAACATAAAAGTATATAAATCAGTGAGAAGAGTGACAGGAAAATCAAATTAATTCAATTGAAAACAAAATTGTGAATCTTTTCGGGACATAGGTACAATTTTTGCGATAAATCGGAATATTTTCGGAGTCTTACCTATACTCTTTAAGAAATCGATCGTGTTCGTCCATAATTAATTTCTTGTCGGACGCACTTATCACTTGGGTTGAGCATCTGAACGATTCCAACTTTTTCTCCAATCTTTTTACGGACTGTTGTTTTTCATCTATTTGCGAATTTGCCGATTCCGTTGTGGGTGTCGATAGTAAGTTTTTAAGAGACGATTCGGCCAGTTTCAATGCATTCGACTTTTCGCTTAAACCTTGAGCAACGGTTTTAAGCTGCAGATCGTAATCTAAGGGAATGTTTTAAAACGAAAATGTACTTCAGCCGTATCATTTGATTGAAAAATGTACAAGTTGCAGTTGCACCCAGTTGCACCGTCTTCTCAGTTTGTCTTAAGTTGACCTACTATAAAATTTATTCATTAGGTAGTGATTTTTCTCTATCGTTTAAAATAACTGCTTGCACGTGCGAACAACAAGCTTGCACTCTATTGGCGTATAGGCGCAACTTATTCTACTGCGGTGGCGTTAATACGTTTAAATCTTGAGCGGCGAGGAATTTATTAATAAGCAGAATTCGGCGGTCGCTTATAGTTTTCGAAAAAATAAATAATGAAATAGTGTGATATAGAAATCCGACATTTTTTTGTTGTCAATGAACCTTCTAACTACCTACTAAACTATCCGAGTCGGTTTCGCTCTTTGTCGGTTCTGTGACTCAATTCTACTGCGGTGGCGTTAATACGTAAGTACTGGAAAGTCTTATTAAAGCCTTGCGCTTCTTGAGCTACTTTTATTTAATACAACTTTTAAATGTATGAATGTTCTACTATTTACTCACCTGAATAAAGTAACAGGAAAAAATAAAATGAAAACCACTTACCAACTTCGTCATTATTATCTACATTATTATCACTTTGTACAGCTACAAAAACTTTTTGTTTGCCGTACAATTTACATCTTATTTTTCCCGCTTCACTTAGAGCGTCAAGCGCCTTTTGTACCGCTGATTTTGTGTAAGCACCCCTTAAATTTATAGTTACATCGGCACAAGAATACGGCCTATTTGTGTCCTGTAAATATTTTAAAACAGTTTCATTGGCCATATTTACATGCAAAAATTATAAACTAAAAAATGCCTTAATTTTTTCTGCACAGATTCAATGTACTATATATTTAAATTTCCCTGAATAAAGCATTATTTACAAAGAGCCGCGCGCGCCAATTTAAAAAAAAATAAACCTGGATAAACCTAAAAATAAATTATTAGATAATCAATAATTCTTATTTTATGTTATGTGAATGAAAACCACCAATCGTTTTTTAAAAATTACGTATATAATTTGTAAACGCAGATAAAGTAACTTGCTAAATTATTTTTATACATGACTAAAATTTAACTTTCTGTTTATACGTAATACGAATAACGTTTCTTTGTAACTGGATGTTTATCTGAATATTAAATAGAGGTAAGATATTGGCAAAATCGGAAACCGGTTATAGCGAAACTAACACCTGCAATACTTCTAAGATTATTATTGAAATTATTCCACTTCATTGTTTTTTTTAAATAGTTTTTAAATGAAAGTAAATATTTTAAAACAGTTTCATTGGCCATATTTACATGCAAAAATTATAAACTAAAAAATGCCTTAATTTTTTCTGCACAGATTCAATGTACTATATATTTAAATTTCCCTGAATAAAGCATTATTTACAAAGAGCCGCGCGCGCCAATTTAAAAAAAAATAAACCTGGATAAACCTAAAAATAAATTATTAGATAATGAATAATTCTTATTTTATGTTATGTGAATGAAAACCACCAATCGTTTTTTAAAAATTACGTATATAATTTGTAAACGCAGATAAAGTAACTTGCTAAATTATTTTTATACATGACTAAAATTTAACTTTCTGTTTATACGTAATACGAATAACGTTTCTTTGTAACTGGATGTTTATCTGAATATTAAATAGAGGTAAGATATTGGCAAAATCGGAAACCGGTTATAGCGAAACTAACACCTGCAATACTTCTAAGATTATTATTGAAATTATTCCACTTCATTGTTTTTTTTAAATAGTTTTTAAATGAAAATTATAATGTTACCCGACAAAGAAGTATAAAAAAATATTTGTTCTGTGACTGCAAAACTAGTATACAAAATAATACATTCTTCTCAATGATCCAAGGTTAAGAAAGCTGAGTTAATGTCACGACCTGGAGGCATATGAATTAGTTTCTTCTGCCGAACAGAGTTAACATAAATACCCTTTTTTCAACAATTTTTAAAGTATTAATAAAATAAGTAGCATAATGTCAGAGCAAATCGTGGGCGTAGAAGGAAAACCCGCTAAGTCCAAAATTCGTCATTTGGAGATAAATGGGTTTGAAAATTCAATAAGTCGTGAAAAATCGCATTATTCCTTCAGGACTTAGCTGAATGACTTAGCCTGAAATATGGACAACGATTTTTTTTAATGGAGACCCGGTACTCTACTGCAGAACCCCCCCAAACATTATGTGGACGCAAAGAACGCATTTTTAGCCAAAAATGGACTTAGCGGGTTTTCTTAAATATAATAGTAATAATAGTCAATACTTCATAGCAATCGGATAATCTATTTTTTTTTGTTTTCTTTATTGATTTTATTGAAGCTGAAAAAACTAAGTGTTTTTAATGTTAAGAACATATTTAGCAAAAGAACATCCAATCATGCGAAGTTTTTAATTGGATTATATTTTGTAAAAGAACATATAGGTAATAATTTGAAGTCTTTTGTTGGAAGTTTTTCACAGTTCCATTCCACGCATAAATATGAAATCAAATTTTATAAAACTGTAATTCTTTTGGTGCTTAAATTAATTCGTTGTTAATATTGATTTCTTCATTTTACGTTTTATAATATCATTCCTATATATGAAATTTAAATTGTTTACGGATTTTATCGTGTTTTAGTTTTGATGGCTAAATGATGAAAATCCGTAAACCAGTATAATTTAATTCGTTGTTGGTAATAAATGTAGAAATAATAAATGAACCATTTTAAATTTAAACTATGGAGTGTAGTGTATAAGCAGGATACATATAAAAATTTAATTTTAGTAAGTATCCCAAAAATAAAATACAGTACGATGGCAATTACTGTCACTACCATAAGTTCCACGTTTCAAAGAAAATGCCAAAATTTTTTAGAACATTCGCTAAATTACGTTTTTAATTCTGCGTTCAAGTTTTACTGTTTACTGAGTTAAGGCCCATTTACACGGTGCCAGTTTCTTGCCTGTTGTATACAATTAAATTGAAGCAATAAATGAGTTGCATGGTCTAAACAACAAATGGTCTAAACAATTATTGCGCGCAATTTATTGCATTCAATTATTGCTCTTGTATGTTCAAGAAAATGGCATCGTGTAAATGGGCCTTTACTTTAGTGCCATTGTGGTTTTTTATTGACGTCTATTCAGTTAAACGCACGCAGAAATACTGTACTCTTCTCAGTTTCTCTATTAATGTTTATATTTCATGCCGATAATACGGCGTATATCGTATTTTTTTTTATTTCATGTTTAAAATTTTACTAATTTTTTCTTCGTTTTATTTTACAGCAATTATATATATGTATTGATTTTGTTTTATTTTACTGTAAAAATAAATAAAAATTTTAGTAATGCAGTATTAACTAAAATCTTTATTTCTTTTTCTTTATTTTAGTTTTTTGTTGTGTGCGTCATTTTTCTGGTAATTAATTTATTTCCTTTCGTCTTTCTTTCTCAATATTTATAATAACTTCCTTAAATTCCTTAAGTATTTAGCCGTTTAAAGGTATGCTGCACAGTCTAAATAAAGTATTTTCTACGCCCAGGGCCGAGATGCCACGCCCTATCTGGAAAGGAACCGTGTCGGCCGCGACGCCATCGACTCTGCCGCCGCGCTCACCGACATGGGCAAGTATTTGTTCAGAGAGCGACGGCTGCCCGTCTACGACATCGCGGTTGCCATAACCAAGTGAGTACAATTTTTCACTTATGCATTCTAATTGTGAAATCTTCAAAGTTTAGTTTGCTTGTAAGCAGCATCCAAACGGTGACAGATCATATAAATTTTTGATCGAAGTAATATTGTAATGCAACTCTATGGTTGATTATGGCGGCTCGTTTTTTTGATTCTCCAAAGACTCAAATGATGCATAATGTTCTGTCTTTAGTCGGTTACAACCGTTAATTAATCGTAGACGATTACATACGTTTGAAGTAGTTTATGTTAATACGTTATAAATCACACCGTTTTATTTATGTACTTCTAAAATTAGATATTCAGAGGTTTAATATTATTGTACTTTGGCAAGCAACACTTAACGACTTTATGTAAATCAGTAAACACTTTGAACATTATAATTGAATCAGAGAATAATTTGGAGAAGAAAACATTGTACATTATATATTAGTATACAAAATTAAAAAAATATTCCGAACCGGATAGTATTCTGTTCGGAAGCCCTGTAAAGCGGTCTTTCATATGGAATTCTAGAAAAACACAAAATATGAAAATGTTTTATTTTCAGAAAACTTTTTTATAATTTGCTGCCAATGCAGATATAATAACTACCTATATACATGAAAGAAAATTTTATATAATAAGTTTATATAAAATTTTCTTTCAATCAGTTCAGTAATCAGTTCAATATGTTATACATACAACCAATGATATTTTATACGGTTTAATAGTATAAAATATCATTGCATACAACCATTGACATTGGTAAAAGCGATTTATTTTTCCCTAGCTCGATACTGATTCTATAGGCTACAAATTAGAATTTTATCCATATTTTATGGTCTTCATGTTGTATAATTTGAATTTGTTGTGTTATATAAGCGACACTATTGGAAATTGTAACTTTTTATTTGGTTTATTCGCCAACCATGAAGATGGATGTTACAGGTAAGTTTAAATTTCGCGTACTGTATTTAAATTTGGCGCCATTATTGTCGGTATTAATTTTTACGAATTAAATTTCATAAAATAACTACTATTTTTTTGGTTTCAAAGTCGAAAAATATAATTAAGCCTTATTACCTATAAGATACTTTAATTTGTACATTATTTTATGTAAGAACAAAATGCATAATTGTCCATGTATGCTAGAATGTACCTAAATTATAAATCGGATTTTAATGATCAATAGTTATTATTTTGTACCGTTGTTTTTTATTATCTGCATTGTTCTCAAATAGCTTAGGCTAGAATTTTTTGTACAAAAAAGAAGCAACGATTTATAAAGACGGATAACCGAATTTTACCAACAGGTATGACATGTGCCGTCGACGCAAGGGTGGTCGCTGCACGAAAGGCACCGCTGGTAAATTTATTTTAAAAAGACGTGGTTTTAGGTCTACGGCTGGTGTTGAGAGTCAGCATTAACAGAGGCTTACGAGTCACGACTCGGCTTGATAATTTTTAATGTACGAGGTAAAGGAATTGGTAATGGCGCTGAATATTTTCTTTTGTCAATGTTATATTTTTTAATTGTTCGCGGCCTGCGTCGTTTGTCGTAGTTTAATTGCACGTGCGCGAAATTTAAAAAGTAAAACTTTGGCAAAAGTCCGAATAACAACCACGATATTAGCTCGCACAGAACCAGACTATTATGACAGTGACTTTGTTTCGAATGATATACCTCACCCTGGGTATTTTCATATACCAACAAAGCCGACAGTGACGTCTCACAATAGAGACGTATGGCAAATTGATATCAATTTATTTAGTTTCGTTTATTTCCATGGCTTTCAGACTAGACATGTGCAGGAGACAATATGCAAACGATGCGTGCAATAGGGGGACAGCAGGTACGCGTGATTCGTACAACACTCATGGGCACGCCTCTTACTTTCATAGAAATCCCTCACCCTACTTTTGTACACTAGATCACTATGGGACCATGATTCCAAAACCCTCCTACCCGACTCCATGACTGCATCCGCACTTGTCAATAATACCTTATCTCTCGCAGTCCGCTCTTCTAGTTCTTACAATATCCTGATTATTGTGTATATATAAATTGGTTATCTGTTACTATGTAGATTAAATATCACTTTTAGTTCGTCCTTCACATGTATTACACGGGAGATTTCATTCAAAATTAAATAAACAATTTATTTATTATGTTTTAGATATGACTTCATCGTTGTAAATGACTCATAAGTACGTAGTTATTGAAGAAAAATGCATGCTTTTATTTGATACATATTTTAATAAATATATCATATATACAGGTGTATTGCATACTACTGTGCATGACACTTCTGTTTATTAAAACTCACTGGCCAATTTCATTGCGAAATATCGATAGGTCTTACGAATACCGCTTCAAAAGATCACTAGAACATCTTCTTACAGTAACAAGAAAGTTGCGTAAAGGCATTGAGGATACCAGTTGGCCCTACCTTACTTAAATGACACGAGGACACAGTAAAGTAACGAGTAACGACCGACCTATCACTAAATACGCATCAGCAGAGCAACCAGTCTCGCTTACTGCCATCTTAATTCTGTTTAAAATTGTTCCAAAACTGTAAAATGTAGGTACCAACATTTTCTAGCATCAGAAATCTTTAATTGGAGGCGCATAAGAGAGAATGTGGGGTTTTTTACCTGAGGCAACAACGTTACATTTGTACTGTCTTCAGATAATAAAAGGAAGGGAAAATGTTATTGGCCACTGTTATTAAAGATTCTTTTTCTAAATAAAATGCATGTCGGGATGTAGATAGAAAAATAATATTACTTTAAAAATTGCATGTTATAAAAGTATCTAGTTTATAAGTAGTTAGTGCTTTGTAAATCTGCGGACAACTGCTAATTACTTAAATATTTTATAAGACAGCAATATATAATAGCATTCTATTCCCAACATCGATTCAGAAACTTTATGGCTTCGCATTACTAACCTGTACATTATGCTTATTTATTAACTGCATTGTCCTTAAATCTTTATTATAATATAAATACTTGATTATTTATATATTATGTACCTCATTTTAACACTAAAATCATCTGCCTATGTATGTAATATCCTTTTTAAATTAAAAAAAAAACATTAATTTCCGTACAATTCACTCATTCCCAATCCTCGGTACACATTGTACTTTTAACTGATTTTGATTATTTTGTAAATATTATAGCATACAAATTATTGACCTAAATTGGAACAGTTACGGATATAAAAATTAAAAAAAAAAATAGATTCTGTTTTAAATTTTTGTGGATTGAAATGTGCCTCTTATTAATCTGTTTTAATCATACAGGTTTCGCATATGTCGGCGGTGCATGTGTGGTCAACAAGAGATTGGAAAAAGTTAACTCGGTGGCCATAATCGAAGATACTGGTGGCTTTTCTGGTATCATAGTGGCGGCGCATGAAGTTGGACATTTGTGAGTTCATTTGGTAATCTAAGCTGCATGACTTCGGCATCTTATTTCGTTGATTGTAATCCGATACAGAGCTAAAAAATAAATAAATGTTTTTTTGGATTTGTCAACACAATACTTCTACTGCGGATACTCGATACTGTAGGGGAGAAGTAGCCTTTCAAAACTCTGGCGTGGATTTAGGGGACCACCTCTTGCAATCTCTTAAAAAGTATAATATATTATATACAGGATGATTTTTATAGACGACAGACATATTAACAGAGCATATGCAGAATTTGATTCTAAATATGAATCTGGTATCTACTTGTGACCTCATTTTTTTTTCAAAGATATATATATCACTAGCACTACAACTTTGCTAAAAGTATAATTACCAATCGCCTCGCCAATTGGTTCCGCAAATGGACAAAAGAAGTAAATCCCGAAAAGAGTGTGGCGGTTCACTTCACACGAAGTTCTTACCCGTCACATCTTTATAATGGCCCTCGCCAATGTAGAAAGTTGGGACAAATATCCCTTTTTGGCCAACCGCTCCCCTGGGAGAAAAAGGTCAAATACTTTCGACTCGCGTATGTCATTTACTACGCACATTAATAATTCGTAATAGAGCCGCGTTCGCCTCCGGCTGGCTACACAATTTAACTAACGCTAAAAGTAAAATGCCCTTAAGGCACAAATTATTATTATATAAGACCTGCGTACGACCTATTATGTTCTACGCATGCATGACCTTCGCCCACACGCACCCTACTCGCTTGTACAAGTTGTAAATAGTACAAAATAAGTTCATCGGCCGCGCAACCGGTGCGCAGTGGTATAAACGCAACGTCGACCTGCACAGCGATTGCAGACTCCCGACGATTTGCGAATATTTTAAAGACCTGACCAAACGGTTCTTCGATAGAGCCGAACATCATCCTAACCCTCTGGTGGTAAGCGCAGCAAATTACCATGCCCGACACAAACGCGAACGTCAACAAGCGCCACCCGCGAAACGTCCTCATCAACCCAGTCGACGTAGATACGTCGGACCCGCCGCCGGGGGTCTCGCCGGAAAACACTACACCCACAGTTAGTCCAACAACAAACACACTAGTTCGCCCTCGCCTCCGAGCACGGCGAGACCAACACAACGCGTACACAAGGTTCCGGGGCGTTCCGGTGCGGTTCTCACCGCTCCCAGCCACCGATTAGCTAATTGCACAGTCGACGACCATCGGGGTTTCGGTCCGAACCGCGACCTCTATGGCCCTTAGATGACACACCATAGTTAAACGCACGCATGAGCACATGTGTGGCCCTACCCACGGCGGAGGGCCCAAACTCGTGGGTTTTGGCCACCGGTTCTGCCTCAGATAAAGCTTTAAGTCTCGGGACTGAAAGCAAAAACATCGGTTAATACAAGAATCTTAACGGGATAAACAAACAATGTTTGAATTGATATTTTTCTGGTTATTTCTTGTCAAAATAAAACATTAATATTTTTTTTGAACTATGGAATGCTCAATTAGCATTATGTCAAAATATGTATTTCGTCTAAAAATCACCCTGTATATGTATATATGATATATTGCCGAATAAAAATTCTGAATAATCCATGCACACTTTAGATTGGGGGCGGTGCATGACGGTAGCCCGCCGCCATCTTACCTTGGAGGACCTGGAGCAGAGAAATGCCGATGGGAAGACGGCTTCATCATGTCGGACCTGAGGCACACTGAGAAGGGATTCAGGTGGTCGCCATGCAGTGTGCAGAGCTTCCATCACTTCTTAAAGTAAGTCCCGATAACGGCTGTCATTCCAGGCTTTTACGCGCGCGTTATTCCGTAAAAGCCAAGAAACTTTTGCGATAAAACTTTTAATAGAGAGTACAGATAACGACTATGATCCCAAGTATGATAATAATGTAAGTGCAGTTGCATTACTCACAGATATTTAATCGAAGTGAGAAATCGAGTCAATCAAATTTAGAACATGTATAATAAATATAAACTTCAAGAACTATAGAATATTTAACATATTTTTATGTCTGCGACTGTGTTAATTCTCTGGTAGATCATGGAAATTCTACTGCTGTAACATTATCAGATTTTAGGAAATATTTTTATAGGAAACGCTTTAGTCTAGAAATATTTTTTTATAAAATTGTACTATATATCTATCTATATAGTTGTTCCAAACTTTAAATGAACGCTTAAATATGCACAGATTAATTTATATTTAATCTGAAATAGCTATACTACTCTCGAATAATAAATAATATTAAGCTTGTTTCAAATTTCTCAGCGGTGACACTGCGACGTGCTTGTTCAATTCCCCTCACGAGGACGATTCGCTGCCAAGGGTCCTGCCAGGGCGTCTGCTAACATTGGACGCGCAGTGCCGTAAAGATAGGGGCACTAGGTGAGAACTTAACCACAATGCACACTCGTCCCCTCTCATCTAATAAAATTGTTTATAGTACTTGTCAATCTTCATAGATTTAAATAACTAAAAGTAAGAAAACAGGTGTAACTTTTTTCAAAAGTTTTATTTGCGGAGTGAATCTCCATTTATTTTTGTCGTGTTCCAACAACTTTTGTCGTTTTCTATGCTCAAAAATCATCATCCTTGTTGGACATTTAAGTTTCATTTTTCACCGAAGTCACACAGCCTAATAATATTCAATAAGAAGTTATCAAATCATCGGCAACATTTGCCAAGATTGTTCTGTGCTCTAGCAATACCACTCCCACTTTCCAGCGCCTGTTTCAAGGACGAGCGCGTGTGCGCGCAGCTTTTCTGCTTCGACGCGGCGAGCGGGTATTGCGTGGCGTACAGGCCGGCGGCGGAGGGCTCGCCCTGCGGCGATGGACAGGTAACGCTGCGTGGAGGAACTAGTTTGCGCAGCTTCTACTGCGGTAGTGCTTCGCGGCTTTTGCCTTTGAAAGCGCGTACTAGTAATATAACAGGAATCTTCGCCAAAAGTGAAGCATCGTACGACGCTGGTATCCGTATGTAGCGGTAATTTTTTTACGAGAGGTGTTTAAGCGCCGCAAGATGAGTCGAACATATAACCTACACATATAAGTGCGTTTTCAGAGTCCTAGAGTGATTATTGCACGAAATAATTATGAGAAAATAATTGAAACACTTTTTCAACTTACTCACTTTCACTCTGTAACGGTTTCTATTATTGAATAGACCCTTTGTGGTTGACTGTTCCGATATGAACGACAGTGCTAATTTTGATTCCAATGTGAATAAACTTTGTATACATTTCAGTATTGCATAAATGGTCGTTGCATAACCGAGCACGAGAACATAATCCCGGACTATTCGCAACACACGCCGAGCTACGTGCGCCCGGACACTAGTCCCTTCTTCGGAAATATCACGAGGTCCGTATTGCAAAGCTTATTTGAAACGCAACACCAATTGTCTTTTGGTATTGATAAATTATCTATAATAATTGACAGCTTGTGTGTGCGATGTCAAAAGCTATAAACTGACAGCTGACAATGACGTGTGTGCATTGTCAAGGTGACACTTTGTGTTATGTAAACAATAAAAAACGCTTACATATTGAATATTAAACACAAGCGACACATTTTCATACTCACATAACACAAGAATGTGGTATTCAGTATTTTATATTAGAGCATAAAGAAAAATCAACATATTGACGTTTACCTGTTACACAAGCTCTTAATATTTTTTTTGTTTATTTAGAAACTTATTTGGCAATTATTTTCATGAATATTAAAACTTTATTCACACAACGAGTCTTAAAATTTGAATAATCGACCATTCAGTACCTCCATATACACAATTTAATCAAAGTCTTTTGGACATGTTTTTCGATTGCCTAGATTTAGTAACCTATTATAAAACTATATTTTAAAGCTATAATATTTGGTTGCAAGTGAATTAATACCCTTTGAAATCACACCGCTGGCGATGGAATGAGACGCATTTGGCTCATTGCTGTCAGCTTGTGTAGATGCAAAATCGCGACACTGTTACTAATAATCCTATTTGTTTTTTGCGTACACACGCACAGTAAGGGAGAAACGACAAAGCCATACGTAACTAGCACAACAGCCCCACCCGCACAATACCGACAGAACTACTTCCCGAAAAAGAATACTGAAAATGTATCTACAACAACTACTACTACAACAACAACAACAACCACAACCTCCACAACAACAACTACAGAGAGACCATACAAATACAACTACTACAATCCGTGGAAGACCACAGAGCACAAAAATGAAAGAACCACCGCCGCTACTCAGCCGTCCACGACGAAGGGCAGCACTTTGCAGAAAATCATTATAACGACCACCAGAAGTCCTTACGACTTCAAAGATTTCACGACTGCCAAAGCGACGCAAAAGACCGAGGCGCCCAAGCGCGGCTTCTTCAGCAAAGACGACTTAGAGGGCTACTTCGGTCGGCCAACGACTAAAAGCCCATTCCCCGATAAGGGAATTAAGTCCGCATTCAAGATAGGCACCTACTATTCACAAGCAAAGTCCAGCGATAACTCAATAAGGCCCGATGCGAACTCCCAACAAGTCCAAATAGAGCCAGCGAGACTGGCGTTCTCTTACCAGAGGAACCTAACTGCCGGCGAACCAATCCTAACATAGGATAGACGTGCCAAATTAACACTTATTGGTAAGGAATTAAGAATGAGCATGGATCGCATTGATGTCATCACTTTCGTCGTCTCATGGATGCTCTCATACCTTACGAATATGCTGGATCATTCTTCTGTATCACCTTGTTCCACTAAACAGATCGGGTTGCAATTTGTTGCTAATTCTCTTGGATTTAATAAAATTTTAAGAAAAAGATGCCAGTACAAAAATATATATTTTAAACTAATTTATTGAAGATATATTTTTATTAGTAATAGACTCTTATTATTGTCATAGCAAAAAAATATATAATTTTGTTGACCTAAAAACCATTTTATAATAGCAACCCTACTGATGAATGCAGTTTAGTACTTTACTGTATTTTTTTGCTGTTGGTACTGTATTCGAATAGAAGAATATTTAACGAAACAGATTGCAACCACAAAAATATAGTACCATCATGAATGTAGATAATAATATTAGACCATAAACTTCTAAACATTCAAAACAAACATTTCACAATATGTACAAAGTTGTCAACAACACAACCGTACCATTCCTGAATACTCTTGAGCATGAAAGCAGCTTAATTTCTTCATTCACTTCAGTTCACCATGGTATCACGAAATCAATTCGATTAGCCATTGAAGTAGAATAATGAATGACATTTACAACATTATACATTACACATCCGATTCACTCTAAATTACTATTATTCTTCATTAAATGACCTTAGTTCGTAGATTATAATACGTCTAGATACCGAAATGACTATTTTTACGAATACACTTCGGTATACTTACTGACGACCCGAATGGCGTAGTGGGTAGTGTACCTGCCTCCTGCGCCAAAGGGTGTGGGTTCGATCCCCACTGCTGGAAAAATATCGTGTGATGAACATAGTGTTTTCTAGTGTCTGGGTGTTTATATATGTATAATATGTATTTATTTAAAAAAGAAAAGTATATTTAAATATGTTTATCAGTTTTCTAGTACCATAGCATTGGTACTAGAAAATGTGTCCTAAAATATTTAAAATATTTATTTAGAATCATTAATTAAATTATTTAGAATACTTATATGCAGAAAGACATTGTTTTAGACGAGTCTGCTGTATTTTTGTGCATAAGGATTTGAGGTTATGATAGCTTACCTTGGAAATTTACCCATGTATTGGTTATTTTGTTTTCATTGACGCGAATGGTGTGTGCATTTGAATTTTCGATTATTTAAAATTGTCAACGCACCTGCAAGCCCCTCAGGTGCTGTAGATATCCATCGGCGGCAGTATCCACCTACAGGTGGATACATAACATCATGTGGACCGCTTGTTCACTTTACAAGTTTTCACATAGAAATAAATATTTTTACTTAATCTGGTAGTAAAAAACGTAAATCATAAATATTGGCAACACTGACAAACAAACTAATTAAGTAAAAAGGAAACAAAATTTGTAACACCTATACAACCACATCTGACTGATTCGTACATTCAGAAACTTTTTCATTCGTTGCCACAGCGCCGCATTACAAGCCTCTCCTTCTAACAGTATGTCTTAGTTAGTTAGTTATCAGTTTTGTCTCTTTTAAATTCATTCAACCCATTCATATGCTTTGTGACCTTTACAAATGAACTTTACGTTACAGTTTTATACGTAAGGATGTTCTTGAAAAATTCTTTGTTTTGGAAAATTTAATAACTCTGTAACTATTGATGTGTAAAGAATGTAAATGTTTAATACAATTTTAAAAAGTTATCCCCTATATGTGTGTTCATTTATTGTCGCGTTGGTAACGACACGCTGTATAACAGCAGAACTAGGGATTTAGACGTGTATATAATCACAGCTTATAATATAACAATTTCAATTGCAGTTTAGACACAGTTATGGCTTGTATTTTTCCGTGATCAGTAAAAGATTGCAGAAACATCGTATATAGATATGAAAATGTATATAGATGTAGTAGTATTATAGATATGTAAATGGATAATGAAACTAAACCTTAATTTAATTTAATAACAAAATTATGTACAAAATGACGTTAATGTTTCAGCAGCCGCCATTAATGAAACGTGCGAGCTAAGTACTGAAGACTGCTACGCTGGAATGCTGACTACTATGGTGCCTGTAGGTCACCTTTCAATTTTGCCACGGTACCTATACCAAGGCAGTGCACATTTCCAGCCCCCTACCTTAAATTACAGTTTATGAAATGTGCGCCACAACCCGCTTAGAAGAATATTACTGTTGTAATCAAAAGAAAATAACAATTAAGTTGTAATATGTCACTGTTACTTTGTTAGCATACTGTAATGTTACAATATGTATGTTATGGAAATATTTTGTAGTAACAACTTGTAAGATTTTCTACTCTTTAATATATACAGAGTGATATTCAATATTCAGCGGGTAATTGCGGGTTTGTGCTGCATTTGTATGTGTGAAAAATGTGTCTGAAGACAAGACTTTACATAAGTGTCAGACACAGTTCTGTGAGTGATATAATAATGTGATTGTGTAACTATTAATAAACTTTAAGTACAGTAGGTTATGTTTTATCTATAAAAATGATCAAAGCAGATCCAACATATTAATATTAACATGAGGATCTTAAATTTGGTTTTGGAATAATAGAAATACTCTCTTAGTCTATGGATGTTCGTTTTAAACGTTTGTAAAGTTATTATTCTTATAAAAACAATAAACTGCCACAAAGTGCCTTTTATATTGTGTAAGAATTTTAACATAGGACTTCATCTATTATCACTTGAATTGAACTTTAATTTGAATTTACACTAAACTTGAATTTACAGCGACTGGTTCGCAGCCTTCTGAACAATAAAGTAGTTTATATTGTCTTAGTTTAATTTTCACTTTATACATTTATGTTTTTTATTGGATTATTTGTCCTTAATATAAATCTGATATATTTTTGTTATAATTTAAGCATGTTTTAATATCTAAAATTATTTATGTGACATAGGTCTTTAATTTTAAAGTTACCAATAGAATAAATTCTTAAAAGTTTTTGGCTGTATCTGTCAGTACCTTGAAACAAGAAATGCAGCAAGCTTGACATAATATTACTTGCCGTTGATTGCTATTTATTGTATTCAACTATTTATGTATCAGCCAACTCTTATCCGTCCAAATTGTATAAATATTAAGAAAAAAAAAAACAGAAATAACAAAACTGAACAGCCGTTTCTTTTAAGTTATCATCCCACTTTTATTTTAAAGTTGAACCCAACACCAATTAAACATATTTGACAGAGCATCCCCTTTTTATAAAACTTAAATAACAATTTTTTATTTATAGCAAATTATTCTAAAACAGTCCTAAAAATCCCAAAAAAAAAAATCAATAACAGTGGTCTCTGCTGTATACACACAATTTTGTTTGTGTGTAAACAAGTGACAGTTATCAAACTTATATGAATATTGAAAGAAGATTTTACAATGGAAAAGATCACTTAAATATAAAATATAACCTAAAAAAAAATTGAATAAACCTTAAGCCTAACCCGCCTTCACAGGTGATGTTCTGGCACCAACATTATGCACCAACAGTTTTGCAAGCATGCCAACTGACAGGCAAAAAACAAGGCCAGCCGGCATAAACTTTCTACTGTTGTAAAACCTGGAAAGCAATCATTGTTTACATTATGAACAATTGGAGTAGGAACTTTGTGGGTAAATATACTACCCTGCTATTTTTAGACGTGATAGCCTATTTCGGACGCCTTTAATTCAATGTACTCAAGCAACCTGAGTTTGCTCCCCGGTTCTGGCAATAATGAAATTGTTAATTTTAAGTGCTGAATTATCACGTGCTCGGCAGTGAAGGAAAAAATTGTGAGGAAACATATTTTCGAAATAATTAACAAAAAAACAAATATTTCGAAGATATATGAAATGCATCACTCCGCAGTGGGACTGCATGGTGGATTAGGCCCTGGTACTCTTTGTACAGAGGACGCCTTTGCCGAGGCAGTGCCAGTACAGTAGGACATACATAGGCTGATACTTTTACTTTACATATGCTCATTTTCATCATCAATGAAACACTGCTCGGAGGTTTTTAAACACCCAAAAAAAATTAAGGACCTAGTTTTATTTCAACCACCGCTTAAGCGTCATCTCCAGTCTTAAGCGGTACCTTAAAAATCCGGTCAAGTGCGAGTCGGACTCGCGCACGAAGGATTCCCTAAACTTATCTATAAAAACGGCAAAAAAGTCATGGTTATTGTATGGGAGCCCCACTTAAATATTTTTTTATTCTGTTTTTTTAGCATTTGTTGTTAAAGCGGCAACAGAAATACATCCTCTTGAAAAATCTTTTTAAAAACTAAATTTTAAAGAAAGGAAATATACATTTAAAAATGTAATTTCAGCTATAAAAAATTAAATAACATTTTTCTCTATTATTGCGTATTTATTTCAATTTGTTAGAACTTAAAACAAAAAATACCGACATACTGATTAAACTTTGTCACGTAGCTAGGTGTACCCTAAATAAGTAACATAAAATAAACACCCCCTAATTTGTTGAAAACTATTTTAGACGCCGGGCTGATTTAGGATCCCTTAGGTTGGGGCACTCTTAGTAAGGGGATGTTTGTGGGTATAATGGTGAAAATGGGCATTAGTCCTACATATGATCCAACTTTTTAAATAGTTTAAATTACACTAATGGCCTAAAACCTAGGCTTCAGTGTGGCTGATAACTAAATTGTTTTAGTCCGTATATTTCTCCACTGACAAAACCAAACAGTGAAAAACCTCTATGACAATTAATTTGTAGTATTGGATTTCTAATACACTATTATAAAAAAATTATAATCAGTAGAAATGTTTTCAATCAAGGAGTTTCTTTTATTTTAAAACAAATTTAATAATATTGTATTACACAATAAGAAAACATGAAATAATTGTGTTTTACCTGTAGCCCATAAGACCTCCAAGAGTTGTTGTTGTCCCTAACATAATTGTGTAGTTTGAAGGATCTTGACTTAGTTGGTAGGCACCTACACCTGAAATGGCAATAATTTATATCATAAATCAATATTAGTCATACACAATACCAACAAAACATTGCTTGTACAAGTTGCAAATAGTACAAAATTATTTTCATCCGCCGCGCAACCGGTGCGCAGTGGTATCAACGCAACGTCGACCTGCACAGTGACTGCAGACTCCCGGCGATTCACGAACAGATTTTAAAGATCTCGGCAAAGGGTACTTCGACAGCCTGAACTTCATCCCAACCCTCCGGTGGTAAGCGTAGCAAATTACCAACCCGACACGTCAACAAGCGTCGCCCACGCAGCGTCAACCTGGTCGAAGGGGACTTAAGTACGTCGGACCCACCATCCGAGGTTCCACCAAATAACACTACACACTCAGCTAGAGTATCAACAAATAGCCATAGTTCGTCCTCGCCTTCCAGCACGGAAAAACCAGGGCGGTTCTTACCGCACTCAGCCACCAACTAATCAAGCACAGTCAATGGCCATCTGGGTTACGGTCCACACCGAACCTCGATGACCCATAGGCGATATGTCATAATTAACGCACGCATGAGCACATGCGCGGCCCTATGTGGGTTTCGGCTAGCCCACCGGTTCTGCGTTCGACGAAGGTTTAATAATATAAGGGCTGAAAGTGTAACATCAATTATACAAAAACAATACTAAACCAACAAGTTCAGATGTTCAAGTTACCGCTAACTCAAAACAATTTAATGTCAATCAAAACTACAAAGAATTTATTTTGCACTTTAATTCATGATTTTGCATGTAAAAGGATTTTTCCCGGATCACTAATTTGTTTATAGAAAACAAAAAATAGGTATAAAGAAATACTTAAATACTGGGGATGTATTGTCTGTTACACAGTCTGTCTGTTACATTAAAGTTTTCGGATGGTAAAGCAAGTTCTATGATCAATATTATTCATTATTTATAAAATACACTAATATCCAGAGTTGGAATCTGCATTCAAAATGCTGTGCACTTCAGACACTTGTCATATTAAGAATTTAAATAATCATAACGTATATGAAACTAAGAAATGCTTACTTACCTAATATTGAACCAAAAATAATTCCTGCCCCTAGTGAAGGTATGGAGCCTGAAATGTAAATTAATAGAACAAGTTAGTAAAATTTTGCAACTTACCTCACTACCACCAAAACACATTGTAGTACATAAATATATCTTAATATGTATAGTATTGTAACTGGCATACACCACAGTTAAACGCACGCATGAGCACATGCGCGGCCCTACCCACAACGGAGGGCCCAAACCCGTGGGTTCTGGCTAGCCCACCGGTTCTGTGTCAGATGAAGCTTTAATAGTCTCAGCACTGAAAGCAAAAACATCAGTTAATACACGATACAACAACTGACATGATATAATAATAAATTAAATACATAATATATACAAAGGCATTTGATTAGGTGCCCCATACATGGCTAAAGAGGGTCTTCGAACTGTACAAGTCGACTGTACAGTAAGGGATATAATACCGGATACGACAGGGTATTTTTCAGGGCGACTGTTTGAGCCCAATATGGTTTTGTCTCTTCCTGAACCCTCTCAGCGTGTTACTGGAGGGCTCAGGAGGAGGATTTCAGCTTCGGAGAGGAGGGACAAAGGTGACCCACCTTTTCTACATGGATGACCTCAAATTATTCGCCTCCAAGCGCTCCCATTTGATGGAATTGCTTAAAGTCACTTGTGATTTCAGCAATTCTATCAACATGGAGCTCGGGACGGATAAGTGTGCGGTCCTCCATGTCGAAAGGGGTAAGGTCGCTAACACGGAGGGCATAGATTTATCTATGCCCGTTAACATAAGAACCCTCTCTGAGGCTGAAACATACCGATACCTGGGTATGTCACAAAAAGTGTGTTGATGAGGCTGGCATGAAACAGTCAGTTCGTGACGTATTTTTTGCACGCCTGATAAAGGTGTTTAATAGCCATTTGTCAGCCGTGAATAAGGCGCGTGCATTTAACGGCTGGGTCATGCCAGTCCTCATGTATACCATTGGCATACTCAGGTGGACTCAAACTGAGCTCAACACCCTGGACCGAAAAGTCCGCACAACCATGACGTCCCACAGAATACATTATCCGAGATCGTCAGTGATGAGGCTGTACCTTCCGCGGAAGCATGGCGGGAGGGGCTTTTTGAGCGCCCTCACCATGCACAATCGCGAGGTGTGCAGCTTCCGCAACTATTTCCTGGCGAGATCGGATGAGTCAATCTACACGGACGTCATTAGTTGTGATAAAGGACTTACCCCTCTATCCTTAGCCAATGAGCAATGGCAGGACCCGGGAGTACTGAGCGTTTCCGACCGAGACCGTATGGAAGGAGAAAGAGCTCCACGGGAGGTTCTACAAGGCTCTACACGAGCCTTTCGTAGATACTGTTGCCTCCCTCAACTAAAATTCCGAAACAGAAGGTTTTGTCTGTGCGATACAGGATCAGGTTATTAAGACGAACAACTATCGGAAATACATCCTAAGGGATGGCACCGTCGACATCTGTCGAGCTTGTCGCCATCCCGGGGAGTCGCTTCGGCATGTTATCTCCGGTTGTTCCATGCTTTCTAACTCTGAGTATCTGCATAGACACAACCTAGTAGCCAGAATCCTACACCAGGGGCTCGCTCTGAAATACGACCTCGTGGAACGGAAACTGCCGCACTATAAGTACTCTCCGGAGGCCGTGCTCGAAAATGACCGCGCCAGGCTCTATTGGGACCGGTCCATCATCACGGACAGGACGATTGTCGCGAACAAACCTTATATCGTGTTGATGGACCGGGCACAGTCGCGGGTATTTTTGATCGACATTACCATTCCATATGACGAGAACCTCGTGAAAGCGGAAACAGATAAGAAGAGGAAGTATCTGGACCTGGCTCACGAGGTGACCGACATGTGGGGTGGTGTGCCGGCCGAAATTATCCCAATAGTCGTGTCTGCGAATGGGTTATATCTATATGTTTATTTTTATTCATAATATTTATTTTATATATGTAATATATATCTATATGTTCATCCATAAACCCAACCATGAGAAAACAAATAAATATCCCCAGCAAATAAATAATTAATACAGACAGGTAATACAGATTCATAAAACATATTATGTCAATTTAAATTTCTTCCTTTCGTTCTGCAAGTGAAAACATTTCTCTAAAATGCAATAGCAATTTCAAATACTACTACTACTACTACTTAATTTTATTCCAATAATATAATGAGTTTGATATAAACATGTATATGTATTTATGGATCTATGCCAATTTGCATAAAAATTTAACATTTTCGTAATCAAGTAAACTTTGAAAAAAGAAGGAATAGTAACAATCTACACGTAAATCACACGAGCGCGGTAGAAGTCGCTGGAGAGCAGTTAGACTAAATAAAATAGATGAACAATGAAATGTTTTATATAACAATGTTATTATTAAATTGTGTCCAATAGCTGATTATACCAATTGTAAAAACACTTAAGTTGTTATGTTAAGATTAAATTTTTATCAGTTAAGTAACACCTAAACTGCTAATAAGAAAATATAAATTAAAACGGCTAATAACATAAATTAAAAATATATACCAAAAACCTAATTATTATAATTATGTATTTTATTCAATAGAATGCTGCAATGAGACATTTTTAAGGTATGTCGTTGAGAATAATCTGGACTTATCATTGTCAATAAAAAATATCAATATCATCTTATCAATAAAAAATAGGAGTCAAACAGCGGGTGCATTAACTTTATAAAAATAAAATCTAACCTGCTTTAGCATAACCCATTATTCCTCCTGCGGCGACAGTTGCAGCATAAGCAAAACCTAAAATATCGACACCCATTTTAAGACTTTAAATATTCTAAAAATTAAAAGGTTTCGCTGTTAACAAAATTTAATTTTCTAACGATTACACAACGAAAAGCTGTTTAAACCCGCTCTGCCTTTACTTTATTAATGTCAAAATCAAAATCAAAGATTCGTCTCGTCAACATGATTTCGCATTTGACATATTCGTAACTGTTGCCAACATAATAAAGGCACTTTTCTGCAAAAGGGTAAAACTCCAGTCTCTTTTTTAGTGTACAATGCTAACTCTTTCAATAATAACAGTAAGGCTGCCATTAAAAAGTTCCTCATTGGTTCCAAGCATGCGTGACCCGCAAGTCATTAAATATGCAAATCATTTGCAACGATCGTCCGGACTACCGGCAAGCGGCAAAACGTTCATTTATTATAGATGTCGCCTCGTTGCCTTATGCTCGACTCGCCCCAGCTAGCAAATATTATAGAAAGAAACGTCCGTATATAAAAACACTATGAGGGGTCATCAGCCCATCATGGTCATTTAACTTATCACAAAAAAACATTAAAGGGTGACATGGAGCCCCTGTTCAAATAAGTGACTTATTAGAGTTATTAGCGAACAACATAAATCCCAAGCACTTTTCTTGGAATAGTTATAACTATTGACACTGTGGCGGATGAAAACAACCGCCGCGTCTATTTTAAATTTAGCGCGCAAAAGCGCGCGACTCGCGGTTTGCAAACGAGTCGCCTCTGATTGGTCGGCGACCGGGGAGTTACCTCTGCCTCGAGACTCGCCGCTGAGAACACAACGGTCTATTTGCTTTGTTAACAACAACATTATTTTAAGGGTGAAAATATTGTGAACATATCTAAAGTTCTTCTGATGTAAATACAATTAATAGTGAGCACATTTGTGAGTTTTATTTAATGGCATTCCGCATTATATCATGCCATAACACCCTATGACCAATAATCCAATTGCATTTCTACCTGAAATTAACAACTCTGTCCTTTTATTTTACAAGTTTTAACATTCAAGTCCGCTGGTCAAAGCTTTCGGTATCTATCCAGCACCAACTCGATCCGCGCATCCACAATTATCCGTTACATTAATGTGCGCGAAGGATAATTTAATTTTCACGCTGCGATCCAACAACCTGTCACCATGGATGACAGAGCTCCGTCCCCTGTACGTTAGCCTGCCGATTTTTCACCGTACTTAGCACGGCTCGTAACACGTATACTAAGAAACACACACATGGATTAGTTCTCGTTCTCATCATCACGTATGAAAATTTTCAGTTCTTTATTGTTTCAATAATTTTTTTTCCACAAATTGATTGTATTCGATCTTGTTCTTCCATTCTTGTTGAATGTTCATCATACATTATGTTCTCGTTAATTAATTGTCGTATTTTTAAGTTTCAACGTTAGCGTGCCATTAAACAGAAATACTTCAATCATAATACTTGCTCTCAGAGATTTGAACCTCCGTTCGTTAGGCGTATTGTCCATCTTTCGTTAACAGGGGTCGCGTAAAAGCACTCATCATGTCTTTTGCGTCAAACGGTTACGTTGTTCTTCTGAGATCACGGGATATTTACCTACGGACCTCTTTCGACGAAGCTGGCAAAGGTGGTGGGCTAACAGCAAACTGCACTAGCAAAAAATAAAAAATGATACATAGTACAATCTTGTGAATAGACAATATGGGTTTTATGCACTAGCTAAACATTTTTTTATTTTTTAAATACACACCTTATGGTGTTGTGATAATGCTATTTATAGCGAGTTGGGAATTTTACGCATTTTTATAATGACAATTAAAAATAATCTAGAATCTAGGGCCTACGGCGACATCATTTCTCATTTTGAAAGAAGATTAAACATCATCAATCATCATTATTTCGAATGGTAACACTCATAAGCAATATGCTTTTTGAATGATCTTAAATTTCTGTTTTCAAATTAAATACAAAAAATCCTGACCTTTTTCAAAAAAATGATTCGACAATAGCATTTAAGGATGATGGGGCCTTTAGACGCAAATATTCATATTTCATTACAACATGTATAAATCCATCATACCTTCAAAACAGCTGATATGATATTAACTAAGAGTTCTTTCCTCAATGCAAGGCCGCGAGTATTCACTATTCAGTTTATCAGTAACGCCGCTGGCATACGGTCTTGTATAAAATTAACCTGTTTTTTGTTATTTTTTACATTGTTCGGTAACCTTGGTGCGAGTCTTCGCGGACCTTGCCTACTGTAATAATAAAGTTTTAATCGCATTGGTCACGATGCTAAAAAGTGCTTCTAAAGTGACAATTAACACTGGGAATGTCCTCAACCTGATCGATATTAAGAAAAAAGCTGGACAGAATGTTACTGAAGAGGTTAGTATAGTAAAAATTTCATATATTTCAACTTTAAATGAAAATTTTTACATATAAAAATTATTAAATAACAATGTTATACATTTTTATATTAAAATAATCTAATGCTTGTTATTTGAAACCCTATTAATAAATTAAGTATAATAGGAGTATAATTAAAACTATACTGTTTTGCATACAGTAAGCAGTGGTGAAATTTACATCATGTCTGGGCTAAATAATTTTTTTTTAATTTCACCTTAAGAATATATCATATTTAGATTTTAGCTCTGTTACTGGTTATATTAATTTTTACACAATTTGATTATTGAATGCTATATAATAACTAGCTGACCAGGCAAATGTTGTTTTGCCATATAAATTATCGGTACATGAGAATTTTATATATTAGATAATAAAGCAATACTGCCGAAGTGTATGGCCATACCAAAAAATATTTATTTGTGTTATTTTTATTTATTTTATGATGTCTTTATTCGTAAGTTGTATGCATGTAAGTGTTTTACAATAGCATAGCAGAATCTTGCAAAATAGTAGGTCTAAAATTTGTCTATACAAAGTCATCACTGTGTTTTTTAATTATTCTTATACTGGAATATTGTTTTAGATTTTTTTCATCCAGTTTCTAAACTTTCATGATGAGATATCACAATTCCTGCAAGTTTGTAGTTAATAGTAAAGTATAGCTCTAATTTGAGTTTTACCTTTTATTAAAAAGAGTAATGTCTTTTCAATAGTACCCATAATTTATTGTCAAGGATGGTACTGGGACCTTATTAGTCTGAGTTAAGACTTAAAAAGCCGTTTAGTAATTTTTTTGTATCATTGATTATGATTAAAATAAATTGATTAGTATGCCTTATTAGTAATATACTGAATTGTGATGCTGTGAGTCTTTTTAGTGAATGAATTAGGAAGTGGAATGTCTGTAAAAATTTGCTCATTGAACAATACTGAAAACAAGCTGTGTATAATTACAATGTGACATTCAAGCTATCAATGGAAATGTTTATGTAATACAATTCTATGGCCAAAGTTGATTACATGTCATACAAGTAGGACATTTCTTTATGATGCATTGTTACATGTAACTTATTTTCATTGCTATGTCATGCAAATTGATTTAAATCACTTCAACACAGAGTATTTTATTGTACTCAGTTATTTTATTGTTAACATATTTTACTTTCGTTATTGTTAATTATTCTTTTATTATTGTTATATATACAATTAAATAACAAGACCATATAATTATAGTTTTACTAAAATAAAACACTCAGCTTTCACTAGCTAATGGTAATATAATTTGTGTATTTTAATGAAGACCTAGACAGACTTTTACAGCATAAATTAAGGACATATAGATTTTATCAGTGGATACGAAAATGACTGTCCAGTATATATATAATATAATATAAAAATATAATAATGATAATATTTTTAATTTGTCATTAATTCTCATCCAGCATATTTCAGCATATACCATTACAATATTTTCGTCTTTAATACCTCTGAAAGCACATTAAATAACGCCAAGCATTTTCAAGAATAAAATAAAAAGAAAGTGGATAAGATGTCGAGATTTCCTAGTGGTGAGGATGTATGAGGATGTAGACCGCTTAGCTTAATGCCCGACTTAGTAAGTATTTACTAGGCGAGCGGAACGCTCAGGTTCGAATCCTGGCACCGGCGAGAAACTTGCGACAGTTTTTGCTGCTGTGGCAGGGCCACGCAACAGACTTCGCTGTTGCACGATGGCAACCCTACGGATGTGGCAAATTTCCACGGGCGACGTATATCACTTAACATCACGTGAGCCGCCAGCTCGATTACTACATTCTCACGTAAACGAGGAGTTTCATATACAAACTTTTCAGATACCTCTTTGGTTTGGTTAATGGCTTGCCCTCATTGCAGCTGTCCGAAAGCATCAAGCTTACCCTATCAGAGTGGGGCACGCAGAACTCGCCGATTCAGAACGGCACCGCGGCGGAAGACGGTCCGCAGACCTCGCGCAACCACTCCGACTACATGGTGGTGGCCGCGTCGACGGCGCCCCGCGAGGCGGTACTCAACATCACGAGGCCCCACGACGACGTGCAGAACAAAATGGCGGAGGAGGAGAGGAAGAATCTGAAGATAGGTGTGAAGATATTCATCAACGAAGACAGCACCGCCGCCCTGAAGGAGTGCCTCGAGAATGGTGAGCGTGAACTAACCGATGTTTGACATTAACTGTGGAAAGAGCCACGCAACAGTATTCACTGTTGCACGAATGGGCAGGTCCGTCCGGGTAAATACCACGAGCACACCGTGTGGGGTCGTGGTATTTACCCGGGTAACAGACTTAGGGTTGTAAATGTTCACGGGCGGCGGTTATCACTTGACATCAGGTGAATCTCCAGCTCGTTTGCCACTTTCACACATAAAAAATATTAGCTAGACACGAATTTGTAGCATGCCTTTAACGTAAAACGATGAAGTTGTCCAAAAATTTTTCGTCGCTTTCAAAATTCGAACCTACCGCCTTGCGGATTACGGGTCAAGGCGTCTGGCGGCGAAAAATTTTTCGACAATTATGTCTACACGGTTTAAGTTACATCTTAAGTACAAAGACAAGCATTAAAAATAAAATCTGAAGGTCCTGAACAGAAAATAAATTGGGATAATATAAGAAAGATACCAATTGCATCGTGCAGTATGCATTGTTAAGAAAATATTAAGCTTAGTGTTTATCACAGGTGTCGTCACTATTAATGTTTCCGAGGAAACCACGACTCAATCAGTGATTCTTTCGACAACGATGGTTCCCCTGATGCTAAACTATTAACCCGCCCAATTACATGTACAACAACTTGGAGGTTGCCGGTGCGTTGCCAACCTTTAAAATCAGTGCGTTTCTGATACGACTCACCGGGAGAAACACAAAAGTATGATATTTCCACATCACGCTGGTTTTCTTCCAGGCCGTGGTACTTTCCTGGACGTGCCAGCCCATTCGCCCAAAGGCAGAAGCTGTTGGTTGGTACTGCCATAGTAAAACTGTACCAAATTTAAATACTCATAATAAACAATAATAAATCTTAAGTAAGGTTTTAAATCGTACATAATATTTCATATTCTGAATCGGAATGGAATTTAAAATATTATGAAATTGGTTTTTCCAAATTAAATTGTGAATTTTTGTCGTAATTTAAAAGGACTTTCATTAAAAAGACTAAACATGAAGATGACACCGTACTTGATTTCCTAAACCGCTGTTGTCCGTTTCCTGTTAAACGTTTCCGTTGCGTTTACAAAATGACATCAAATGCCACAGTAGCTAGATTAAATCGTCAAAAATGCTGAACTACTTCCGGGAAATGTTTCCGGATTTAAAACTTATATACACTAAAGTTTCGATCGGTATCTTTTACAATACTATGTATCAATTTTGTTTCTGCAAATTTTCTTTGTTGAATTTATTAATGCGATGTCCGCTCAATAAAATAAATTTAACTAAAAGCAGGTGGATTCGGAATATTGTTCAAAAACTCATCCCGTTTATGACGGTTAAGAACCATATTCTGTGTCAAAATTGTGATTAGAAATAACAATGTTCGTTCATACTTCGTTCGACCATATGGTCTAAGAGGTCTGTTAAGATTTGAACTTTTATTATAGCATCTTTATCGAAGAACTTTAAGATGCCAATTCAGATTCTGGTGACTAACTCCTACGTTAGTAATGACTTTTCATTTTTTTTAATTACAAAACGATAATCTCACAAGTCATCATGACGATCCGATATTAAGGAATATCTGATGTATGGTGTTTGTTATAACTGAAATCATTATGAAATTGTTTGGTATGAGTAACTTTCTATGAGACCATTATTTATTCAAGTTTTATAGTATTTTGAAGGCGGTTATAAAATGATGCACGTTGCATTTGAATACTCACATTGACTTCTTCGACTGGGATTAACCTTTGGTTCGTCGGAACGTTGATCTGCGCGCCAAATTGTGCTTCCGTTGACCGTCGGAACGTAGATCTACGCCAGATCGCTTATGATTAATAGTGAGCTATTTGCTGACTAGATAGAGTTAAGTTTCCCGTGAAACTCGATCGAGAAATTAGCGAAGGAATGAATGAACCGTATTGTGATAGCTAAAAGAATTATTACTGGTAAAAACCTATTTATTCTTTCACAACTATTTCGAATATCTCCATGTTTTCATTTATATATTTGAATTACTGTTTTTTGTGAAACAAATATCGAAAACGGTAAGTGTTTTTTCTTTTCTTATTATTTAGCACGTAAAACAATGATAACGTATCGAAAAATGCAATATTACTAAGAATTTAACGATAAACGAAGAACATAAAATGTATGTATCCGTTCGTCATCTCTGTTTCATTTTCGACTACTGATATTTCATAGTTTTAATTACACATTCTAATTATCTTACACATCATTTTGATTCTATACAGATATTATAAATAAAATGTAAATTTGAAAAAACTTTTCCATCTAACAGAAATTTCGTTCGTGTCAAATTGTAACGTATAAAAATATAGGCTGTTTATAAAAGTAATTTTTTTTGTTCTCTGGTTGAACATTACATTTTTTTTAATTGATTTGAAATTACTTCATCGCTATAAAATTTAAAAATAATGTAGAGTACATTTTATCCACTTAGTGTTAATTTACCTATTTTAATGAAAATGAACAAAAATATATTATTGGAAGATAGAAGGGTAGTAGCACACTGCAACGGTCTATAAAAGGAACAGCGCTAGCCATTTTCGGGGCCAATCCGTTAGTCATAGGTGCCGTCACCTACAGACCCTTACGGCTAGGTACGTTCCGTCGCAAATGGCGCAGACCACGACACATCCTCGATTTCCCTGACGATGAGACGACTATTGCCATCGACAGGATAAAACAATTACGCAAACACACCAGATCACACCATGGTTTTCCCCCGTTAATGGTAGAAGCGTCGCTGGATTTTCTTCCGCCACTTCTTCTCCCAGCGTCAACGCTTTCCGAAGTCGTAGTAATGTTAGACCTAGATATTCTTCCAGTCAGATAATAGCTACCGATTGAGATCGGAATGCTAAACGAGTATTGAGTAACAGCCTAAGCTGAGATCTCTCGGGGGCCCTTGAGCCTAGTCACTCCATGGGGCGTCCACCAAAGCGCGCTAAGAGCTTGGTGGCCTCCCAAACCGGTAATGATAATAATAGCGTGATGGCCTGAGCCGAGGCTCCCTCGGAAGCACTCGAGCTTAGTCCAAAACCAAAACGCATAACCGAGGTTCAGGCTAGGCGCCCCGAGCGTGCTACTCAGGTCCTCATAGGACGTGGTTATTTTGGGAGGTATCTGTTTCACATGGCAAGGAGGGATGGCCCACAGCGGAATGCAACCATTGTGACGTATGTGCCGAGGAAACAGCCCAAAACGCCCTGAAAGAGTGCCCAGCCTGGACGGAACAACGCCGAGAGCTGTACGCTATCGTGTGGCACGACCTCTCGCTGCCATCCGTGTTTTGCGCTATGGTTGATAGCGAGAGGAATGGGGTGCTTTCCTCGCATACTGCGAGCACATTATCACCCGAAAGGAGGCCGCGGAGAGAGAAAGGGACGCAACACCCACCCTGGATATCCACCGCCGTTGACTAGGGTGCAGGAAACTGGCCTACGCGCGCAACCTTCCCCCCTGATAGTGAGACCCTAATCGGCAGGCATGGGGGTGTCTGTCGCTCGGGGCTCGTGACGTGTGCGCACCAATTGCACGGGCACAGCACTATGTAGTAGAGAGAGAGAGGAGGCCCAAAAAGGCCATAGTCGCGCCGGAGTCGCGGAAGATTGAGTCCATGTGTTCCCGTGTCCCCGGCCGAAGCGACAAAGACAGGTGCAACGCGGGTTTTTTAATGATTACCCGTTCTTATTGGGACTCTCACATACCCCTCCCACTCCCCCGATCAAGTGGCATACATAAAAAAGGCACCTCGAGCGCCCTGCCACCTCAAGTCCGGCGGATCTGTAAAGGCCCCTACAGCGTGCGGAAGCTCTACACGAATTTATAACGATCGTGTCGGTTACTTAGAACTGTAATTAAACTCTACGTAGTTTGGCTTACTGACCGCTTAGTTCTTTTCAACCGACTTCAAAAAATAAGGAGGATCTCAATTCCACTGTATTTTTTTTAAGTTTGTTACCTCAGAACTCTGAGGAGTAGGAGAGAAAAACATAAATGTACCAAGTGGCCATCACACCTGCGGAATCCAATTGATCTACCCACAGCATTGCTTCATGCAGCTGGAGCTTCGAGAAAGTAGCAACTCGATCCGTAATTGTAGTCTCACCTTTATACCTCCCGGAACAGCACCATTTCCCACAACCCAAACGACCGCAAGCGTGAAAAGTAACCTTGCCATCATCCGACTCAGGCGCCAAGCCACCAAACTCTTAGGGCGCTTTGGTGGACGCTCCATGGAGTGACTAGGCTCAAGGGCCATCTCAGCTTGGGCTGACAATCAATACCCGTTTAGCATTCCGATTCGAGGGTGCCGAAGAAGGCTAGACCTCGGCTCAATCGATAGCTCAATCTGACTGGAAGAATTTCTAAGTCTAACATGACTACCATTCCGGAAAGCGTTGGCGCTGGGAGAAGTGGCGGCAGAAACTCCAACGACGCTTCTACTCGCCGGCGAGTGCGGTGTGATCTGGTGTGTTTGCGTTATTGTTCTATCCTGTCGATGGCAATAGTCATCTCATCTTCATGGAAATTGAGGACGTGTCGTGGTCTGCGCCATTTTCGACGGAACGTACCTAGCGGTAAGGGTCTGTAGATGACGCCACCTACGACTAACGGATTGGCCTCGAACACGGCTAGCGCTGTGCCTTTTATAGACCGTTGCAGTGTGAAATTTAAATTGTTTGTATGCTGTAAAGGATATAAGAATATATGCACCAAGCAATGCTTGGAATGCGAAAAACAATGTAGATTTTTTTAGTTGATCCTGTGTTGTAAGGACGTTTTACAAACATAAATTTCACGCGGACAAACACCCAGATGCGAAATATCTGTGGGTCACACAAATAGTTGTCCCATGTGGGAATCGAACCCACGACCCCCGACGCCGAAGCCAATATCTTGGCACGGAGTCATTAATAAATTTTTTTTTGCTACAAATTTTATAGTTTCGTTTTAAG